ACCAAATTGGCAACCTTGACTAATTTGAGATAGTTAGTTTAGTTTTTTACAAAACTTCTGAATTCCTCCTCCGTCGGTTTTTGCTGAGTCGAAATTGCTGACGTTTCGCCAATCATCCTCTTGGCTTCTTCAGAGCTTGACTGAAACTGTTAGTTAGTTTAGTTATAATTAAAGTAAACACTTAACTTACACAAGAGAAATTCACTTGGAACTGTTTTGTCAAAAATTAGAGATACGACCAACCGACCAACCGAACTAACCAAATGCATAATTTATTTTAGTTAATAGTAAAAAATATATTTATTTCGCAACAAAATAATGCAGCAAGTATCACAAACTTAGCTTTATTTTTGCAAAAAAGTAGTTGAAAACATTTACAATTTTAACCCCCAGACACTGAGAGTAATATTCAAATAGCAAGCAATACATGAAAAAATTTTTTATAGTTGGAAATAAAAATAGTATATAGGGAAAACAAAAAATAATCTAATAAAAAGTATAAAAAGGAAAACAAACAACAAATTCCGGCAGGTACGTTTAAATAAGTTTAAGCTTCTGCATTTTCATCCTTTCGGAACTCTATTTTGCAGCTTATAGACGTTATAAGGGAAAGATCTTTGAAAGAGGGTTAGTTGATGGTGTGGAGGCGATATATAGTATATAGTATATATTATTTTAAATTATATCATGCGCAGGATAATTCATTAACTATTGGAAATATGGAAAAGCATATATGCATAATTTTAAGAATGTTGTTCCCTCATCGCCATTTGCTATGTGATCCTCTAAAAATCAAACCTGCAGACTCGTTGGTTTTAAGTAATTTTAACAATGGTGACGTGGTATATGGTCCGGGTTTAAACAGTGTTGATATTAATAGGGTAGAAAACTCTTGTTTAAGATTTATTTACGGCATTCGTAAATATGAAAGTCTCCTAGAAACCAAAGGAAATCATGGTTAACCCTAGAAAATTAGATTTTATGGGTTCCTGTCTATCTTTTGAACGAAATTAAATTTCGCACTGACGTGCACACGCTTAATCTTCAATTTCAAGGGTATATCTCTCCCGTTCTTTCTCCTCGTCAGTCTAAATTACTGGAACGTTCCTTTGAATATAACATTTACCACCTCTATGTCCCTATACCCTAAACATTAGTTCTTTCAAATATTGAACTGAGGTGGCTTTTACTAGATGAAAATATATTTATCAAAATAAGTAAGAACTTAAAGTTCAGATTAATTTCGTGAAAATCTGAACTTTTAGTTCTTATTTATTTTCTTTCAAATATACTGCTGTTTCTCAGGTTGTAAGCCTTTGATAGTAGTCAGAAAGGTTAACTTCAAAGTAAGGCAAGAACATCTCAAATAGTTTTAACAATGTACTTCTGTTAAATAAAATGAAATGATGTCAGCAGAAAAAAAAATTTTTTTTACTTAAAAACTCCTTCAATTAATATAGTTTTATCTCTTTTTACTTTTTGTTTAGTTTTAGTTTATTGAGTTTATTTCCTATTGAAAATAGTATATTATGCAACAAGTGCGGTAAACGGCATTTGACTCACGAGTTGTTGCATACTATACTTTTTCTACGACCGTTAGCTTTTGGGTACATTTTCGCAAAACAACACGAATACATTCACTGACTTGACTGTCAGAATTGATAAGCGTCAAAATTCAAAGCGTGGGAAATACCTCCGAAAATATTCGATTGCTCCCAAACCTGTGCGGTAAAATCCCGGAAATGCCCGAAGTGGCTCGGATTCATGGGAAACGAAACTGACCTGGTAAAATGACGCTTCCCGCATGCTAGATCGGTGGGTAATTAGGTATTTTACAGACGGGAGTAGAAAAAAAGGATTTTATTCAGTACATTGTTCCCTATGTAATGTAAAATTATAGTATAATATAGTATAATATTGGTAAGGTTCCATGCTTTAAGTTGCTCAGATTTAAACATAAAACATAAACTTATCTGATTGGTTCATACTCTACATAGAATAGAATGTAGAATGTAACCTTAATCGCGTTGTTTTGCTATAAAGTTTGTTTTGATTATTTCGGAATTACTGGTATAGGTACGGGAAAACAACATTCTAGAATGTACTTTGATTCGTTACTTTTCCAAAATCGCCACTTGAAACAACCCATTGCTGACCACAAAGCTCAAAATTTGTTAAAATCAGTATATAAATAATTCGATTGTTTAAATTTGAGTAAAATAAGTAATAAGACATAATAATAATAATAATAATAATAATAATAATAATAATAATAATAATAATAATAGTTAATTGATCTGTCTAACTTTCAAATCAACTACTACTTGACGAAATGGCGGATGCGCAGAAACTTAAAATTTAGTGAGATCATTTTTATTTGTGGCTCTATTGAATACGGCAAGATAGTATTTATAACAGAAAATTAGCAACTATAACGTTGGGGAATACGCATTAGAGAAGCCTTGTTAATTTAAACTTTCTAGAATGCAACTTGCATAGTTAGCCAAAACTAACCCAAAAATCTTAGCAATTTAATATTAAAAATTTGTAACAGACAAAACATGTCTGAATATGATATATGACAATATTTTATGTATAGGAAATATTAGCAGTCTTAAAATTCTTAATATGTTTTAGTAATAATATTTGTCCACTGTTGAATATTGTAAAATAGTAAATAAATTGCCAAATTATCAAAAACCATAGGTCGTATTTTTAAAGGAAATATTAAGTACAGAAAATATTTCATTTCATCATTGTTTCATTTCATTCCATCACACATGATTTGAAAAATTAATTAAGCTTGATTCTTAACAACAATGAATTATTTATTCCTATAACACTGTTTAGAAAGTCAATTGTTTTTAAAATGGAAATTAGTCTACCATTATTTTCCAGGATCTTCATTGCATTCATGTCACGAGTTTTGTTTTTGCTAGCTAGTTTTGGTTAGATTTGGTTAGTTTGGTTGTTAGTATAGTTAGTTAGTAAACGAGTGACTTAAAAAGTTTAGGTCTAGTGAATGACAAATTATATTATAAGTAAGATATGTTCATGATCATGTAAACAAAAATTTTATTATTTCATTATCAATCATCATTGAGAACAATCAATACAAGGCATTAAAAATCACAGTTAAAACAGAATCACTCATGTGGTACAGCCTCAACGAAAGTCAGATTGACTAGTGAGAATTATGTTGTTTGAAGTAAAAATTTATCTGATATCCTTGAGCTCATTTATTGTATAAGTATAGATTTTTTTCAGAAAACGGCTATACAAAATCGCAACCATAACCTCAAATCAATTATAGAAATTCCATCCCCCCATGACATTAGACTTAATTTCATTAACGTAATTTATTACATCACTTCTGTCACAAAGTCGAAAATTAAAGTCCGCCATTCCATTCCCATAACTGTTTATATTGTAATACTGGACGGCCCCTTGCTAGACTGTATCGGTAACTGTTGCAGGGTATTTAAAGTATTTATTAAGCTGATGTTTGTTTAACAGATTTTCTGGCAATACTTTGGTTTTGTTTTTAATTAAATTAAGATGACTGCCACTTTTCTAAACAGTTTTGTTTTTTTATTTAAACAGTTATTAAAAAAAGCTATTTTTTCTCATATTATACCGCGTTTTGGATAGTTTCCGAGTTGTCTATAGTACTGAAGATGTGCTTATGTTTTGGGTTCGATACTTATAGATCAAAAGTTACCTGGAGATCATATTTGCAACTCTTAGAGCACCAAATAGAACAATATATAGAAAATTCGCTCCCAAATATATCACGGCAGCAAGACGGGGCCCCTCCTCACAATGTTGTGTAAATTTTCTTAATACGGAATATCGCAGTGTTTGGATAGGGAAGGGTGGAACTATGGATTGGCCAGCCAACAGCCCCGATTTAACTTTAATGGATTTTTTCTTTTCGGGACAGATAAAAAATCACGTCCACAGAACTCCAATGCAAAAATGTCGTGGAATTTCCGGCAAATGATTTCAGAGGCAATCAGTTAAGAGACAATCCGGAAACATTACTAAATACACGACATAATACAATTAGAGTGTATGAAAAATGTGTTCAGGAAAACGGTCAGTATTTAGAATAGTTAAAGGATTTTGATTTCTTACTTTAGTGCGTCTTGTCATTTTCAGTGTTTTCGTTTTAATTTAATTTGTAAAGAATTATTGTTGTTGCAGTGGACTGAAATATAAAGTGTGTTACATCGTTGTAATAGGAATAAAATAATCTATTAAACACATATATAATATACAGGGTGCTTATATGTATTTTTTTTATACATCACTTGGAAAAAACTTGGCTACTAACCCTACATTTTGTTCTTTTTGTTTACCTTGATATCTCTAAAAACAAAATAGTGACAGCCAATGAAAATGTTATCAAGACAAATTCAACGCGCGGTAGAGACAATCACCTTTAAAAACGTTTTTAACGCACCATTCAGAACGCATAATCTTACACAGTAATTTCGTTCATAACAAAACGAACTCCATTCGCCATTTTTATATAAACTTAAACATACGGAGCCAGCCGAGATTTAAAACCAAAGAACAAGTGTGGTAAACGACATTTCAGTGATGAGTTCATTTGGCACGAATGCATTCACTCAGATAACACAAACGTCAAAATTCAAGCCGTGCCGTAAAATCCCTTAAATATCCGAAGTGGCTCTAGATCGGTGTGTAATTAGGTATTTTACGGAAGGGAGTGGAAAAATTAATTTTTGTTAATATGGTCTCTTAGAAGTCTTTTTGGACTGCCGATAATTGACAGTTGCCACAAAAAAACTGACCTGTCAACGCCACAACTCGAGCTATGCCTTATCAATTCTGTTATTTTACGTAATTTTGCACTCGCGTATTCAACTGCGCCTAATACCAAACAAAAGTCGGCTTTATCTACCGTCTCGCCGTCAGAAATATTGTTTTAGTTTCGAGCCCGATTGGAACGTTCCCGTCTCTCTGTTGTTTAGGTCGTCATCAACGCGTCCCACGTTAGGGAAGAGCAGGAACGCGCGCCCGTAGGAAATCCTGCGGAGCTTCCGTGCGACATAGAGCCCGTCAGCGGCACCGTGTTCCGGAAGATGACGGTCAGGCAGCGCAGGCAGGAAAACATGCGGAAGATGCCGGCCGTAGACGCGGGTGAGTTTGGTGTACATTGACAGTTGAGTAGTTTGACTTTATATCCAAGCGAGACCGGATGGAAACGCTGATGAAATAACTTAAAAAACGGCAATCGATACTATCGAAAATGTTGTATACGAGTGACCGCCGAGATGTACTCGTTTATTTTTCATATTTACGCACTCACCGACACGGGAAGTCACCGAAAAAATCTTTTAATACTAGAGTGGTATAATTTTTATAGTATTATCTATTAGATTTTGGAAAACAAACGCGCGTTGCACAGAAACAGTAGCGAATTTTTAATATGTATTTTTTGTTATGACGAAAGATCTTTTTGGTTGTCGGCCAGGCGTTCTGCAAATTGAAACCTTCAGTTGCTCAGAACAAGAAAATCTTCAAGCAGTTCGCTTTTTTTTAATTCAATAAGTATTAATTAACAAATAATACTAAAAATTGTAAAGAACATAATGTCAACAATAACAAACGATAATAAAACCAATAACCACAAACAACAATGAATATACAGAGTTTCCAGTATAAGTTGATGTCCAAGCCGAAGAATGTCTACATTTTCAAAATCCCATTTATAAATGTTTCTCAACCATGTGTGTTAGTCACGATAAATCCGGAAAAATACCAAAAATAAGAGTTCAGGATAGTAGGCTATTTAATTATAAAATATATTTAAATAATAAGTGGACAAGAAAGGAATCGATAAAATTGAAGAGAGAGGATCGAGAAAAGACGTCAATAAAATTTTCATACATACCTTCAAAGTTTCTTTACTTCTTTAACTCATCTTTTCAAACACTGCTTCACAGGACTGTCTTAACATTTACGGGTGATATTGCGATACTGTTAACAGTTTCTGTGACAGCTTCTCTCAATTCTCCAATGTTTCCATATGTGTTATGTCTCTCACAGGCCATTTGAACGGTCCCAGGTTCTCCAACCACCTGTTGTGAAATTCTGCATTTAAACTCCCACCAGTAACAAGGTTGTCTTTCAGATGTCTAAACATAACTCTGCTCGATTGAAGTCTTTCGGGATATTTACTTAAATAAATTTCTGCATCTGTTGCTTCGTGTATAACGCACATCAATATTTGAAAAGTTATTTATATTAAAACTCACAAGTTATTAAATTCGCACAACTGTCACTGACTGTTGAAAATAATGACGGATAACCCGGGATACACCGCCATGGAAAATAAACTTCGCAATATCAAACCCTACTATCATGAAATCTTACTTTTGTTATTTCCAGATTTTTTTGACTAAACTTAGATGTGTTACACATGGTTGAAAAGCATTTTTAAAGCGGATTTTGAAAATTTAGGAATTTAATACGGCGCCCATAAGAAAAACAAAAGTCGCAACATTAAGGCCTAAATTTTATTGACGCCATTTTTAGCAATGACGGATCCTTTTACCCATATCCTGATAATTTTCACATTTCAGATCATATACTAATGAAAATATTGTTTTTTCTAAATGGACATTTTTCTTTTCCACCCTGTATCTACGCAGTGATATTAATTAAAAATGAAACACAACTACACTATCAGACAAAAGTAGAGCAACATCTTGTATAAAAATACAATACATTTGAGGACATTAAAGTAGGCTATGATTTATTGACGATCACAAACAAAACAAATGAATTTATTTTGACATTAGTTTTAAATGCGTATTAACGACGCGTCAAAAATAGAGCATCATTTCCAAAATTTGTTCAAAAAGACGCTTTTAGTAAAAGTAAATGCAAAAATAACTCGTGTTGGGTTTATTTTGTGCTAAGTTTACCATTTGTGCGCAGGAATAGTATGCCAAGAGGAATTCCAATTTAAAAAGACCTAAAGCAAAGAGTAGTAAATACATTTATGGAAGGTACCAATCAAGCTGATATTTCAAGACAGTTTATGTTACCTCGGTACAGCGTATCTAGAATAATTTCATCGTAGAGGACACTTAGGAAAATTGCCGAAATCGGGAAGACCCAAAAATACAACGGTTTTGACTGGCAAGCGCATTAAAAGGATTGCTCAACAAGATCCTTGGAAGTCCGCACTTCGAATAATTGCCGAAATTCCAGAAATTACGGTTGGTATACGAACTGTGCAAAGAAGATTAGTAGCTTCAAAGTTGTTCAGTAGACGGCCAGCAAAAAAACCGCTAGTTACAGCAAGAAACAGAGCAGCAAGGTTGGCCTTTGCACGCCGGCATTTCAATTGGACCATCAATGACTGGAAAAATGTTCTATTCAGCTATGAAACGAGACATAAAATATTCAATTCTGATGGAATGCGACGTGTGAGGCGACCAATTAATACAAGGCTTAACCCTAAGTACGTAACACCAACAATTAAACATGGTAAAGGCAGTGTTTTTTTATGGGGATGTTTTATGGGGATGAGTGGATCCTACACACTTCAATAATGAGACAATGGATCGATTTGTTTATAGGGAGATTATGCAATATGTTGTGCTCCCTCATGCAGAGTGGGAAATGCCGTTACGTTTTATTTTCCAACAGGACAATGATCCAAAACACTCTTCACAACTCGTTGAGCAGTGGTTTGCAGAAAACAGTCAGTGCAGAAAATATCACTCAAAAGTCGATATATTATTGTACTAAAATATGTGTTTAATTTTTTTTTATTTAATAGAATACAATACAATACTGTTAAATACAACTTTTTGAAATAAAATAAAATAAAACACTGTTAAATGTAATTTGTAGCTTTACTTTTGTCACCTTCATTTTCGTCAAATTTTATATTAATTATTATTTAGCTTTCACCAACTAACTTAGGGTACAATCAAAATGTTGTGAAAAATTACCTGCTATGCAAGGAAAGTATTTTATCATAACTAGCAAAAAATATGAACCAATTTTTTTTTATTTAAAAAATAATAAAAAAATATGTTTGTTGCTCTACTTTTGTCCGATAGTGCATATTATTTGTTGTCATATACATACTGTCCTTTTCTTCCATTTAAACGAGGCTGTATCTCTTAAACTTTCCAGGATCTCCGCGTACATCATCTTATAATTATATATCCAACATGATTTCCAAAACGTTTTCTAATGTTATCTCTCATTTTATCGTGAATCGCATTCAGTCTGGCTGATCTCTATTGAGCATAAATTTCTTGTTCAATTCCTTCATTCAACACTCGTATATTTTCCGGTTTGTCATTGTATACTAGGAAAATATAAAGAGGGTTTAAATCCGTGCTATTAGCAGACCAATGAACATATGTCATTTAGGTAATGAGTAAGTGAACGGGTATTGTGGGGCGGTGTCCCATCTTGTTGACAAACCAGGTTGATGTATTGGCGAACTGAAAGGTCTTAAGGTCAAAAGAAAAGTCTATCCGATTATTTGGTTGGCTAGTATGTCATACCACACGCGAACCGATCTACGACCCTGTATTTTTACAATAATTCTTATTTTTTCGATTAATCATAATTGCCATCGTGAAGGTTGCCTCATCAGTAAAAATATTTTTCCCATAATATCGGGATCCTCTCGTTTATGCTTCGACATTTCTTAACAATATTGTAGTGTATTGTATTCAAATAAGCCTTTAACTGGAATAAATTTGTAAGGGTAAGATTTATAATGTTTTAAAGTGGACTGAATCTTGTAATGACAATCCGAATTGTGCGGCAACAATTGAGATTGAACTGTCTGAATTTTCCAAAAAGTTATATGAAATTAATATTATTTTTAATTGTTATTCATTAAAGAATTCAAAAGAGAGCAAAATATGCAACTCGTCATCTTCATTTCGAACAATGATTCTTTTTTTCTTCGAATGATACTTTCTCGGTTTCGTGACAACAAAAAATATATAGGGTCTTCCACTTAAAAATAAAAACTTACTACTATTTCTTAACTTTTCGATGCGCATTTGTTTTCTTTGACAAGTCTAAAGGACAATACTGCAAATAGAACTTTCGTATTAAAAGTTTTTCTCGGTGACTTCCGTTAACCCTTGTGGATGTGTACGCAAATTTATAATGCTGGAATGCTGCCTCATTAAATTAGAACTTGTAAGTGTACATTGTGATATACGGGATGTACAAATAGTGGTTCAAAGTAATACGTCCTTAAATGGTGATTCATAAATTTGTGGGAAACTCAGCTTATGTATTTTAAACCTGTCTATTATAGGATTAGTACTCCCTTCACTTAATGCAGGATTGATTTTTGTTTTCCCACTCAATCTCCACACTTTGCTGTCTGTTCAATCTTCTTCTTGAAAACCTCTTGTATTCATTTTTTCCATTACTAAGTGACCTTCCTCATTTCCTCCGCCCAGTTGAGGTCCATTTATATACTTTTTTTTATTTACTTAGTGTCTCCATTCTCTAGAGGGGGCCATAACAAGGTAACATTTTACTATCCATGGCGTCAAGTCTCTTTTTCTCCAATCATTTTTCGAATTATGTCATTTCGAGCGTGCACAAGGGAGGGTAATTTATTTATTTTCTGTTTAACACCCACGACAATTGCTTTCTATAGCAGAATTTTTGTTTTCTTTCAAATCTCATCACTCCACAGCAACGAGTGACTCTTTTACCTTCAACCAATTCCTTGCAATCTTCTTTTATACATTTTTTCTTTTAAATATATTTTTAAGTAAACTTACTTATACTTGTTACTGACACTTAATGTATCGTTCGACTTTTGTAAGCCTATAAATGTTAGTGTTTCTTACTACTCACTACATGAGCGCCCCTAAAGCAGTTTGGCTCTATGGAAAATGTCTATTTGTTAATGGCAATCCCAATCGATAAAGGGTTCTCATTAATGTCTGTCAACTCATTGTTATACCTATTCACGTCTCCAAAGTCATTAAATCTTAGGAGCTGCTCTTCTTGATGACTGATTCTTCTTAAAGTCGCCCTTTCTTAAAGTGCTTCACGACGTGTATTGCGACGACAGTACATATTCATTCATAGTCCTGCTATCTTACCTCGTTTAAATCTACTTAAGTGACGAT